TCTAGTCCACCCTGCCTTTTAGTTGCATTGATGGGTCTTGTCTGTGCATAGCACAAGGGGCAATCGTGGAGGGGGGAGAATTTAAAACAGTGACTAAAGGGACCAATGAGCCAGCAGAGGGATGGAGTAGATCACGGGGTCCCAATGTGGAGTCTGGGAGCGCTCTCCCTTTCTCATTGGCCATGAACGGGTAAGGGAAAGAGCGGGCAGAAATGTTAGCTAGTCCTGGACTAAATGGGTGGGTATTACTCTATTCTGCATATGCGCCAGCAGGGTCTTGCGAGATTGTAGTGTTGTGCTGATTTGTAAGTGAACTCGCCCCCTTGCCCCAGCCAGGGTAAAACACCTTTACAAGAGATGGCAAGAGATCATGAAACAAAAATGCCCAAATGCCTGGGGCAGAGATGAGATTGATCATGGGCACTTGTGGCCATAAATGGAGACTGACTGTTGTTGCAAAACCCTGAGCCAGCAAGGAGCCCTTTGAACAGGGGATTTAGAGGTGTCATTTGGCCATTGCTGAGACACGGAGAGAATTTACATGTAGGAGTGCAGTGCACTAAGAATCTTCTGTAGCAAAACAAATGACCGTACTTAATCAAAATGTTAACTAAACTAGGTTGCCTTTGGATATATTGTAATGAACTTTCCAGTAACACCCAGTTGTCTTGGGTCTGTGTCAAAATCACACACACACACACCCCTTCAATCTGCCTGAATTCTCTCTCGAGTGAGCACAAACTGTCTGTCTTCCCTACCAGCTTTTGTTTCTAGATGTGTGCATGTCCCCTTTGCCACCTCACCTCTAGCCCAGCTGAGAGGGCCAGGACATTGTGCTGATGGAACTGAAGTGATCACTGCCTGTAGCTCCTATCCCAAGCATGCATTCCCCTTTCCACTCAGTGCCAGATCACTGGGACTTTCAAAACGTCCACTCGCACAGGAATAAGGCACTGTTTTAATATCAAATAACCCCTGATGAATCTCCTATACTGAGCTACTTTTCCTTCCCTAGTGGAAAACTAGCCTGTTTCTTTTCTCCATTTCATGTAACTCCACCCTCCTCAGGGGAGCTCAAAGCATACCATCAGTAAACCTAAAAGGAGAGTCAGGTCCTACCTGTTTGGTGTCATACCAAGCAGACCCAATGTTGGTCTCAAAACCCCTAGGAAGTAGCTTGAGCTCCTTGCTGTTGGGTATGTGTGCTGCCTCCGGCTGGCCTCGTGCCAAGCTGCGATAATACCGTATTTCAGAATTCCTGCCAGGAGCAATTTTTCCTTCTCCACAGCAGATACCTTATCTCCTTTTCCACGTTGCTTCTCTCCAGCAGTTTGTCTGATAACTAGGAATGCTGAAAGTGACACACAAGCTGGGCTAATATTAAAAAACAGAAACTGGCAGAAGATTCGAATGCACGTTAGGAACACGGCAGGGGCAGCGATGCTTCTGGAACATAGTGTTTGTCTCTTGAGGGTTATATGGCACTATGCCCTTGATTAACTCTCTCTGTACTCAGCTTTAACAGAGAGAGCCGTATTTCCTGAGTGCTCATCCAAAATCTCATGGCACTTCTTTCACCAGCAAGAGAGTTGGTGCCAGTGCATGGGTCAGGGTCCACCTTGGGTAATTAGTCTGCGTAAGTGATATTCTTTCTGTCACTTTAATGAGCTATGAACTACTTGGGTGTCTTGTCGTTAGGCTGCTGTGCGCTGCTAAGACAGCTGCAGCGTTCCTCACTAGAGGTGACTGCATTTCAGTGATGAATTAAGTGATTTAACCCTAAGGGCTACTGGGAGTCTCCCACATCTGCTGCTGGTCACAATTTTATCTTGGGAGTGGGGGGGAAAAATCACAGCCTCTAGCTGATGTAGCTATGCTAGCTGCTGGGGTAGGGGGATGGAGAGGAATGCCCCTATGCTGGCAGCAATGTTCGTTGGCATAGCTAATAACATCTGGGGCAGTGGTGGAGCTATACTGGCCTAAGAGCTCCTTCTGTTGGCTTACACTGCATTGCCACTAGAGGGCTCTGCAGCTACAGCTATATTGGTGCAGCATTGGTAGCGTGGACAGGCCGTACAGTTAGGCACTTCTGAAAATGTTACCCTGAGCCGTAGCCTACCATTGTGAAAGAGCTGGTTGCACCCTCATTTCACAGAGGGTGAAACTGAGCCACCGAGCAGTGAAGTGACTTGCTCAAGGTAGAACCCGTCTCCTCTAACCCCCAGCCTTACAGCTTAGAAACAAGCCCTGCCTCCAGCGTTTTTGCCGCCCCGATCGGCGGCAGCTGTACCGCCACCGCTTCATTCTATTCTTCGGCAGCAGGTCCTTCCCTCTGAGAGCGACCGACGGACCCGCCGCCGAAGACCCGGACGTGCTGCCCCTTTCCGTTGGCCACGCCACGCACCTGCTTGCTGTGCTGGTGCCTGGAGCCGGCCCTGCCTGCCTCACTGCATTTGCACTGTATTTCCTTCTGCTGTGTTTTCCCTTGCAAATATGTTTGGGTTCACTCCGAGAGAAAGGAGGACTGAATCAGCAGTATGTGTGATAGGTCCTGGAAGCTTCATTATATGATGTACAAAGATGCTATTGTCCCCTTGAAGGCAGAAGTGTAATACCATGCAAGCAATCTGAATTGTAAAAGGCTGCGTGGACAGATAACCCAGCGCCTGTTCACCGTGATACGGAAAGCAAGAAAGTTAACTGGGGTGGCAGGCTTACTCTGTAGGTGTTTATTCCTAGGGTTTGATTTCTCAAAGCTCTGTGTTGGAACTCTTTACCAGCAGACCTGCTGAGCCCTGATACACTAGCTCCATTTCAATAGCGGCAATTACAGCACAGCCAATGTCAACAGGACTGTTTTGTCGACCGCAAAAGGCTAGGATTTTGTTTGGGTTTGTTACATTTAAAAGAAAACCACGCCCCAATGTGCTGGGCCTGATCTCTCCGGGGTGTAAGTCAGTTGGAACGCTGCCCTCGCTGCAGTTAGAGTGAAATGGGCGAGCTCAGAGTAAAGGGCCCCTGAAACCCGTGCCAAATTCTGGTGTTACGCTGGTGCACCGCTGGATGTACCTCAGTGTAAGTGAGCTGCAAATAGACGTACTGCCATAGCTGAGAATACGACGATTGTGTTTGCTGGCACCTAGCATGCATTTGGTACTGTCTTGTCCACATAGTGCTGTGCGTAGTCAGAGTGCTAGAGACAAATATCACTACCCCAGAGAGTTTCTGTCGTCAGCTGAGCTTGCTGAGTATTTGCTAGGGGGAGAGCCAAATGCCATTTCGGTTATGATCAAGCCTGTGAACTTAGGACTATGCAGTAGCCTCACTCCCCATCAAATCCTCTGCCAGTAACAAGGGGCGACTTGCACAAAGATCAAGGAGGGACTATGGCCCTTATGTGGAAACCAGCTTCCTAGTAAGGAAGATTGCTGTGGTGTGCACGGTACGTCGAGGAGCAATGCTGTTTGTGTGTACACAACGATCCAGTTGGCACAGCATTGTAGTAACGGGGGGTGCAGCGCAGCTCGAGGAAACCTGCTCAAGCTAGTGAGTGCACTAAAAATAATGGAGCGTAGCCATGGCGGGAGGTGCCAGGGTCCCTGAGGCTGTACCTGTCCGAGACCATAGAGACACACGCAGGCTGGCTAGCCCGTCCCCCTGCTTGCACAGCCACAGCTGCACTCTAGTCTCCGTGTGTTTAGCCAGCACGAGAGTGTCTCCCTGAGCTGGGAATCCCAGCTCCACATGTACCCACGGGATATTGCACATGTAAATGCCCTGAAAACGTGGTTTGTATGCTGTTAGCGTTATGGTTCAGAGTTAATGCAGTAGGGTGAATGGGCAGGTCACATTTCCTGGGCTGCCTCCAAGTTCTGTATTGGTTTTGCACCAGTTTATACTCCATTGATGTTTAGCTGCATAAAGGCTGGATATGCATATTATTTATCCTTTTAGAATGAAAGCGGCTAGGCTGTAGAATCAAAACAGGCAAGTGACTGCAAAAACCACATCGAAAAACCGCACGGGTAGGCTCACGAGACACACAAGGGGCTTGGGGCCATGAGCACCTCTGAAATCATGCCAGGGGAGTCTGGCACTGCCTCTTACTGGCACTGCTTTCTCTGCCTTTAACGTTAGGACTAAAAAGCTTGCTGGCTGGGGAAGCCGTGTCCTCAGGGGACTGCCAGAAACCCCTCACTCGCTCATACAGGGCCTGGAATGTTGTATACATTTAACATCTGCAACCTGCCACTGTCACAAGGAAGGGTCTCGCCAGCGTTGGGTCCAGTGGGTTGGGTCAGTATTCGCCAACGCTTGATGAACCTTCCCCTGTTGGCGGCAGCAGCATGGTGGTCTTGTGAAGTAAGCACAACTCTGGGCCAAATGCAGCAGTGACATAAGTAGGTGCAACTCCCGTAACCATGAATGTGCTTCTCTGTATCTCAGACAAGTATAGCTCAGTGGGGGGAGGGATAGCTCAGTGGTTTGAGCATTGGCCTGCTAACCCAGGGTTGTGAGTTCAATCCTTGAGGGGGTCTTTTAGAGATCTGGGGCAAAAATCTGTCTGGGGATTGGTCCTGCTTTGAGCAGGGGTTTGGACTAGATGACCTCCTGAGGTCCCTTCCAACCCTGATATTCTATGATTCTAAGTATTCTCATTTCACGTTCAAACGAGATGTGGCGCTTTGCCAATGGGCAGGCAGTGCTAAGAGTCCAATTGTGCTCAAATCTATTGCAGGTGTCAATAGATTTACAACAGTATAAACCCCATGTGAGAGAGCAGAATCAGCCCAGAAGTATTATTAAGTGAGGTGTGTGCCTACCATTTGTTTAGTGGAGAAATACTGTAGTATCTGTGATATGCATTCATAAAGCACCTATCCATGTATCTTTAAAGGGGAAAGATTTCCAATGAGGCAGATATTGTGGGCTTTGCTGCTGTGAACTGTGGTCCGTCCCAGTAGTGTGAAGCCTGTAATAAATGGAAAGTCAAGACAAGGTCTCTATTAAACACTGTCCTTTATTTTGATTATGGATAGCTCTTTTATTGCAAACAGAAAAAGTTTATTCACTGCAAAGTTTTTATGCCTGGCGAAAAGAATGAGCAGTTAGAAAAACAATGTTAGCTACATGCAAATCATAATAAATTTTGCCAGCTGTATTTAAACGAGTAGCAGAATCTCTTATAAGGTATTTTCTTGCATGTGGAGGGGAAGCAGACTGGTAGTGTAGCAATGTTATGAGGCTAGTGCCAAAGGGAAGCTTGAAAACTCTCTGAATGTATTTGTACCTGTAGATGAAGCCAAAAGAGTTGTCACTCATGCCTGAGCCAAGGAGATGATGCTGTAAAGCTATTCAAAGAACAGGACACAAACAGAAAGCCGAATGGCTACATTTCATGCCAGGAAATCAGATTTGGTCCTTTACGTGTACTGAAATGCTCTAGAAAGATGGGTCTCACTGCAAATTCCAGCTCCAAACTCCCCTGAACTTTGGGGAAGACAGGATCCAGGTTCAAAGCCAGCAGTGCAGGTCCCATCTCCATTTACTATCAGAAATTCAAAACCGTTTCTCTTCTAAAAATGTTAGAAACAAAGCACTTCTGGTCATTGGGAGTAGGGGCAGTCAAGTAACCTAAAAGACTGGTACAGGCCTTCCAGATCTTCCGTTGGCTTGTGCCTGCCCACCTCGGAATGGCAGTGTATTAAAAAATTTCCCCAGGAAAATTTTTGTTCATTTTTCTTCTATAAACATTCCATATTGTAATAAATATCTGTTAGGAACAGCTCTGTCCCTTTTACATGTACTAGAGATGGGCCTGAACCAAACCCTCAAATTCAGACTTTGCACATGGTCCCAACTTCTGCTCTCAGTTACGGTGACGTAAACGCCAAGTAACTTCACTGAAAGCAATGGAGGTATTTACAGTAGGGGGAGTCGTAGCCAAACTCTAGGACCAAATGTGCTCTCGGTACTGGACATCTTGCTGATCCAACTCCTGTAAGGCCAGAGAGTGAGACAGCCTTTCTAGATTCCAAATGGTGGTGGTAAGGAGCAAGAATTTGCAGTGGAAATTCACCCCTGTACATATGCCTAGCCCAACAATTATACTCCAATTAGAACAGGTCTTACGGGGCACATTCTCCTTGTGCTGACCCCTCTGCACAGGAGGTGAATTTCATCCTTACTGGCTGGTGCAAGGAAATATTCCCCGGTTGTTTTGTCATTGACCAAGGATGCTACTCTTCAATGCGGTTTGAATTCAGAGTGGGGATAGGTTTAATTTGGTCTCCGCAAGAGTCCTCCTTAGTTAGGGTGGCAGCCATTTACCCATCGTTTACAAGAGAGAAAACTTTAAAACCACGATTTTGCTAGATTCAGTCAGAATGATCTCATCTCAAAACAGAGACCTCTCCTGCAAATTCTGTTTGCTATTTTCTTCTCCTTTTGTGCTATTGAAGGAACTGGCATTACGATACCTTGGTGATATAGATTTTTTTTTGTTTTTGTTTTTGAGAGAGAGAGAGATAAAAAGCACAGCTCGTTGCTAATGTTTAAAAATACGTGGCCAGCTTTATAAAATATAAGTATACAACTTGATCACATTTTTATGTTCTCTATGAAACAAAATCGGTTGACATTCATATGATGAGAGGAAACTGATGAGGCAACAGTCTAAAGTCTCAAAGCATTGATTGTGTAGACATCTGAACATGTAAATCAACACTTAATAAGAACCTTCATAGGTGAGGTATCAGTTTTAAAGTGTCTCTTTTCAAAGTACCCAGCCAAGTGACACACAGCTGAACATCATGTCTGAGCTGCCTCACAAGCAGCTTCCTGCTCAGAGTCACATTTATTTGTCAGTGTCCCAACCTCAATTGTTCTCTCTGTCAGCAGCCGTTTGGTGCCTGTATTGTTGATCTTGTCAGGTTGGTTTCCATCTTCGTCGGCTGAGCACAGATCCTCTTGGCTCTCCGCCAGGCCCTCTTGGCTTTCCAAGTCACTCATCTGGCCCTCCCCGAACTCCAGAATGGTTGGCAAGTTGCCTTGCTTGGGACAGCGTTTCTTGAGGCTGACCAAAAATGGCTGCGGCAAAGAAAAGATATCCACGTTGTTGCCCAGATCAATCCACGTCACACTGGAGAACTTCTTGGGGTCCTTCAGTGTTTCTGTCAGGTCCCGAAGGATTGCTTTGGTGAGTCTGTTGCCATTCAGGGATAGAGTGGTGAGGTGAGGCAGGGCACTGAGGATGGGCAGAAGTTGAAGGAACATCTCATCAGTCAGCTCCGTGAAGCACAGCTCCACATTGTCAATGTGCTCTGAGCTGTGCTGGAGGTATGAGATGATACGGTCCAAGTCCTTCAGTGTCAGAGGGATGCCAGAGAGATCTACTGTGTTGTTCTGAGGCGTCCCCACCAGGATAGCTTTCAAGCTGCAGAGAGACAAAACGACAGACAAACGGTTAACATGGGCACTCATCATTTTGCTAATAAGCATCACTTCTTGTGTGCTGGCAGCTTTGTGAGAGACCGTGCAATGACTCATTCAAACAGGATACGTAACTGCCGGCACCCCTCTCTGTCAGGCCTGGATTTTTGAATCCGATTTTGTGTGCAGGCTTAAAAATGGATGGCAGCCAAAACCAATGTATTCAAAGATTGTTGCTGCCTCCTGTTTCAATTACAAGCCTAAGGAAGCTTTCTTCTGGGAGTCCCTTGCAGGGTCCTGGAGCTGAACGTTCAACTGCTTTTAAAAAGACAAAAATGCAAAAAGACTGTGAAGCATTTGAGCAGAAAAACAGGAATTCTCGCTTGAGTGACAATTTTCACGCTTGGCACTTATCTGTACATTGCAGAGCACTTCGTCAAAGGCAATAAGCTTTGCTCCGTTTTACAGGTGGGGAAACTGAGGCACAGAGCAAAGGCATGGTAGAGGCGGACCTAAAAGCTAGATGTCCTGACTCCGATTTAGTACTTCCAGTGGTTTGCGAACAATAACTACTATTAATCTTTTGACTTGGATGCTATGGTGATGAACGCTAGAGAAAAGCCTTAGGTAGATAAATTAGTCTCCTGCTGCTCCTGTGGATGCCGATAAGCATCGCTGCCAGATTGGAGTTATACAGATCAACGTTGCTTTTAAAGTGCTGCAAGGATCTAGCGGTATCAGTAGCTGAGGCCTTAACACTAATGAATGAGGAGGCTGAGGGAGTTCTATCCGTGTTAATCACTTGAGAAATATTAGCTAAGTTGGCACATCTGCCACAGTGATAGTGCCAAATCAGCCCACTGCGCATATGGCTCTGACTTTCATCACACTCTGAGCTAAAGAACAGTTTTGTCGAATTTACCATTGGCATTGCTGGTGTTGCCAGCTTCACATTTTCTCTTTTAATTACCTAGGGCCTCTGTTCATGACTTGCCGTGTAAATCGAGATGTAAACCCTTACCCTGGCATTTTTAGACTATGAACAATGACTCAAGGGGTCTACACTGTGTGTGGGGAGGGGAGGGGAAAGTGTTCTTAACTTGCAATATCTAATGTGTGTTAAAACTAGCAGTGAATATACAGCAGCTCTGTTGAACTCCGCTTGAGATAAAGCCTTCAGGAGAAGCTGGGATTGAACCTAAGCTGCTGTGTCCTTACTGTTGTTTGAACCCGAGTTAACTAACATCTTTTATTGGCAGGTTAGACGTACCCTGAACACTGAAAGGCAGATTGGAACTCCCTTTGGTAGAAGAATTAGTAACTGCATCCACTCTAGTTCTATTTACTCTCTCAAAACCATGGGTTTAAATGAGCCCATCTCAGTTACCTTTACTTTCCTTGGCCCGGGATGTGATACTGAGGGCTGCAGAAGTTAGGGCCTTTCTACTCAAGGAGCCATTGGGGTAACTTGGTCTGCTGGTGATAAAGAATATAATGCTTTAATTCACTGGCAACACGAGCCAGCGTGCCCCCTTGCAATATGATGCATGTGCATCTCTTTGGGCTGCAGCCATTGTGCTCACGTGCTTCAGAACATTGCCCTACTATAATGGTGTTTGTGTGTCTTCTGAGCTACTTTTTAAAGTGTGGCTTTTAATTGCGGTCACAAGGGTGCTGGATGGTTGAACCCTGTGGTCAGACCATGGCCAAGCTTCCCTTATGCAGCTTTGCCTGTCAGCCTCATCACTGGTGTGAAGTGAATACCTCTAAGAGAGGGCAGTTCAGTCTCCACGTCCCATCGTAATTTTGGCTTCTCTGACTGTACCAGTTATGCTACTTTGTCAATTGGGACACCTGTTGAGATGGGAACTTGACTGAAACCATCCAACTTGCTTCACATATGCCACCCGCACAGTCATGAGAGGGCCCCTACTGACCCAAATCAGGATTCAAACTAGAACCCTAGAGGCGAAAGGTTCGGTATCTTCATCTGCTCCAGTGATAATGGGACCTGTCAATAGATGCATTTCTAGTCTCCTGCTCTAACTGCCCAGGTTTTAATACTGCTTCCTTCCCTGTCGTAGTATGTCAGGAAAACTTAGAGATCCTCTGAAGAAAGGTGCTGTGTATAGTAAATACAAAATATTATGCTCTCTTACAGAGACAGCCTGTGCTATATTTATTTTCAATAATTTAGGCTTACTGCTCTGGTCACATTGGCGACCTTGCGAGACCATCTGTCCCCTAGAGTTAGCACTTGCCATGATCGGCTCTGTGTTATGCCACACAGAAAGCAATTCTCACAAAGCTGATCTGTTTTGTTCGAGCCTGAGGGTTTGTCTATGATTTGATTTATCATGGTGGGTGATTACACTCTGTTCTAAGAACACTTATTGAAATGGACGATCGGCTTGAACAAGTCAGGCCAGAAACTTAATAGAGCGGGGGGTTTAGTAGAAGAAGCATCTGATTCAGTAGGTGGTAATTTTGATTCAAGGTATGAAGGCAGCTGATTCAATTGGTGATGCAGCTAAGTCAATGGTGGGTCTATATTTGTTTTAGCCGTATGTATGTTTGGAACAAACTGTCCAGGCCACTCCACAACCTGTTTATTGTGGCATGAGACTTATGGGCTCTCTGTCATACACGGCGTGCCTCAGTGGTCCACAGAATTACTTCCATGTTGTGGATGCTGTCACATTTCAGAGCAACGACACCTCTGTTTCCCCCTCAGTGGTCCATCAAGGGCACCCCCTCTTTGGCTTCCAGCCGTTGCCCTTCTTGAGTAGAGACCCACCGTGTGTCTCCCTTCTGACTGGGGTATTTCCAGGCACACCATGCTCATCCTTCACTGTGTTAGTCTCAGCCCAGGCAGGATGCCCAAGGACACCTGCTGGCAGGCTCTCTCTTCAGAGACCATTAACAGTAATTGCTACAGATATAAGGTACCACACACACAGCACTTCCTGTGCAAACCTACTTTATTTTTATGGTAAATAGCACTACAGAGAAAACGTATTAAAACACAATAAAAAGAACCTACGCTCATGCTAAGCACTTACCAGCGTTAACCCCAACTCTAACATGGGCTCTGGCAGTTGTCAGTCTGTCTCACAGGCCCCAGGCAGTAATGAAGTTGTACTTCTCATGGCACTCTGATACCACGGTGATAAGTGCATTCTACATGGCTACGTAGGAGTGCCCACAACATGCCCCTCTGACTACCCAGTGTGTAGAGAGGTAAGTCCAATGCATTTTGCAGTGCAAAAAAGGGAAGCTGAGCCTCGGACGTTTTGAAAAGGTACCTCCGAAATCCTGCAATACATTATTCACAGCCGCTCGCTCCTTTACCTGCCTAACTAGTAACTAAAATCTGACAGCCTCGCCATATTGTAGGTAAATAATCATTGATGTTTAGTTACCACCGTACTACCCTGGTAGGCATGTTGAAAATCACAACCTATGAGAGAGTAGAGGCTGCTCCTTTGAAAATCCCATTCACAAGGAATAAGTGCTTTCAGGTCCCCGTGTCTAGCAGGCCACTACACTATCCCACACCTCAGGTAATTGAAGAATCTGATTCTACTGTGGGGGGAGAGAGAGGGACAGGGACTCCTCCAAAGGTGCAGAAAAATATCCTCACTTCCAGGGTGTGTGTGATTTATCCATTGTTAGTGATGACTTCACATCACCAATGCCCTAGGCTGGACTCGAACTACCAGTTTGGAAGAGAGGGATGCTAAATCCCATTAATCCCTGAGCCATCTTTCTCACTAAACATGTAGAGCATAGATCTGTGGCAGGCTAACCATCTGGCTGGGAACACCCCCACACCCCCCACTAAGCTAGACAGGGTGTGTGTGTTGGGGGGGGGGGGGAAGGCAAACAGGAAAAGCAATGAGTTCCACTTTAGACAAGAAACATCTGACAGACTGGTCAGAGAAGTCCGATCTAATGGGTCCCCCATTCCTTGGCAATGCTGGATTGTTCCCTGGAGGCTGTTTAAGGGTGCTTTGTTTTCATTGTTCTTTTAAAATGCTTGTTACAAGGAAGAAGTAAAAATTGATAAGGGGAGAGATTAAAGCCAACTTCCATTCAGGGGCTTGGCTAAATACTGGAAGAGCTTAATATTTGTACTTTCTATTTGTACTTAACATATCTGACTAATACAACTTCAAACATCTGAATGCCACAGCTGATCCTGGAAGGGAGCTGGTTGATGTCACGCAACCTCACCAGGTCAGCTGCGATTTCAGTAACAACTCTGCAAAGGAAATTATGCAGTGGAAACAAGCTGCTAGCCTCTTATTACCTGGCTGCATTAGATTAGTCATCTCCTGTAATACTGCTTGCTAGGGGAATACCTGACAGCACAGGAGAATTAAAACATTTTGTCTTTTGTGGCTCACCAGTCTCTCTATGGATCTGCGTGGGCCAATTCAACCTATCTGCTCTGAGTGTGTGTGTTTGTCTGTCAAACTGTGAACTAAACAGAATCTCACCCAAGCCTGGCTGTGAAATTTAAGACCTCCATAGGAAATCAAGCCTTCCCGGCAAATGCTTCACATGGACATCTAGACTACAGAGTCTGGGCTCTTCGGTGTGAGCTGCTACAATAGACTAATGCAATCAGTTAGTTAGTTGCACAAACTGATTTCTAAAGCTTTATTATTATCCACAAGTGATGGTTTGGTGGCCTATACTCAGGCTTTGAATATCGAACTTCCCTGGAATCGTGAGTTTGACTCTTAATTGGTTCAACTTGGCCCTTGTGTAACTCCCTAACTCTGCTCCCACAGAAGTCAATGGGAGTTAAAACCTCCAAGGGGAGCAGTGGGGGCAAAAAACCTCACTGGCTTCAAGATTTTGCTTGAAAAGTTTATGGTGGGTATGATGTGATGTGATGAGATGGCCTACAATGGGCATGTGGCTGACCGGCGACTGCTAGCAGCAAATATCTCCAACGGCCGGTGACACTAGATGGAGAGAGCTCTGAGTTACTAC